CAATAAAAGCACTCCGCCTTCGGCGTCGTGCTTTCATCTGTTTCTCGGTGTTTGGAACCCCTGATGAAAAACTCGCACTCGTTTTTGATCTATTACATCCAAAGTAACATATACAGTGAAACCTGTATTGAGCGGACCCCATTAAGCGGACACCCTCTATTAAGTAGACATCAGCTTAAAGTCCCAAAATTTTCTTCCCAGATCAGTACCGTAAAATAACCCTGCATTCAGCCGACACCTCTGTTAACCAGACGCGGACACCAATATTAAGCCTTTTTGTTGCACAAAACCTGCAATAAGCGGACTCATCAAGAGTTTTTTACTTCTAAAGGTTCCGCTGAAACTCCTTTAACATTGTTCAGCGATGTCGTTTTAAAGCTAAGTGATTATTCCAGATTAATGTATTGACTGACTGGACATTCTCCTATGAACAGTGGTTGATCTTACACTGTGATACAAAGGAGTTAATAATTAACTATTATTGCACAACATATTAGAACCTGTTTAGAGCGGACACCCTGTATTGAGCGGACACCATGTATTAAGCGGACACCAGTGAGTGTCCCAAGGGTGTCCGCTAAAAACAGGTTTCACCGCACTGATACCTTAAGGTGGCTCACAATGGTTTCCAGCATTCTTCAGCACTTCTTTGATGTATCAAATATGCTACCACTCTTTTAATTTTCAGTTGATGCCATGATGATCAATGTTTTCAAACAAATAACCAATGTTGGTAAACAAGTTATAGCATTTTATGTGATGCTTAAGCTTACCATTGCTGTAGCATAACCCATTAGAATCGCCTTTATCAAACTGGGACTCGTTTTGGAATATTTATTGGAATCGAAACCTAAAATCAAGGTCATATCATTGCCATGATGAAATGTGTTTTTGTCAAAACATGATCATATGATTATCTTTTGATATCTTCTTATTCACCCATGTTGGAACATTTTCGATGCCATTATTGTGGAATCTGGAGCATCAACTGAAAAAGAATGGCAGTGTAGATCTATCAATCTAGAAGTGCTGAAAAAGGTTGGAAACTGCTACAAGCTAGCTCAAGGTTGAAACTGGTATTTAGTGTTGAGAAATCAAATATCCTTATTGATGCCTTTTTTTTCTTGCACAGGTAATTGCTGGGAGTAAATAGGCCCGCAAAATGGGAAAAGGAAGCCAATTATTGCTACTATTATGGAAAAATCTTGTCCTTCTAAAGAGAGCTCCAGTGCGAACATTCTCCCAAATTGCAATGCCACTGTTTTTCCTAGTCATCTTGGTTCTATTACGAGCATTTGTCGTCAAAGATGAACATAGACCAAATGTTACTTACTCTGCATTTAATGTAAAAGAACTGCCACCAGTTTTGACTAATGAATCAAAATGGAAAATGGCTTTTGCACCCAACACAAGTGATGTGCGACAGGTTATGGACATGGTTGCAAAACAACTGTCACTTGTTAGAGTCACTGGATTTCGGAATGAGGACGAAATGGTCAGAGTTCTGGTTAGTGAAGAACAAAATAGAAACAAACCATCTAATGATGCCTTGTTTCTCGGTGGGATTGCCTTCAATAAGAGTCTTAACAGTGGTGATATCATCTACAAAATTCGACTTAGTTCAAAATCAAAGAAAAACGAAAGAGAACAGAGATCGGAATTTGGCATATACCCATCTATCAGTTGGAATACCCAGTTCACGTTTCCCGTTTTTCAGGCTCCAGGACCTAGAGAATCAAATTCTACGTATGGTGGGCCTCCTTATTATTTTGAAGACGGATTTCTGTCACTTCAACATGCTGTGGATTTTGCTATCATCAAGTACAAAGGGAACATGTCGGATGTGAATACGATAGTGTCTGTGAAGAGATTTCCGTACCCAGATTGTATTGATGATCCTTTGACAGTGGCCATACAAACAACACTTCCTTTACTTTTGATGTTGTCTCTTATATTCATTGCCTTGAATATTGTTCGAGATATTGTTTATGAGAAAGAGAAGAAGTTGAAGGTGAGAAAATTTGATTATGAGTAAGGGTCGTAGCCAGGTGAAATTCCCCACGTAGGCATTATCAGAAAAAAAAACAATCTCTTCATATTTCTTTACAAGATCTTCGATTTGCCTGTTACTGTCTACGGCCCTGTGAATTATGTCTGCGTCCCGCTAATTTTATAACACGATTTTTAATGTCAAAGACACTATATACCATAAAGTTTCAATTTTAAGTAATAATGCTACCGTGAAATGACAACCATTTGAAAGTAGCCTATAAACTTGATCAAACGTTTGTTAGTAGATCATATCCCCTTGACATGACATATCCTTATTGCCCCATGTTGGCATCATAATGATGCAATTAGTGCCTTAGTACCTGTGTGTTCTCACATTATTCTCTGATAGATATTAACCCATAAAACCGGCCGTGGGTGAACATAATCCTTATACCACTTGTGGCACCATGATATTTTATGCCGGAAGTTGTCACTGATAATCAGTTCATAAACTGCTGAGACCTGTAACAACGCATGCATAACTGAGCACACAAATTTACCCAATCACAGTCAAAGCAAGATTTCTTTCTCCCTTCCATAGTCGTTTACATGACTACCTTTTGTTCTCATTTCATTTTGTTTGACATCTTGGTGTGAGCCTTTCCAAAAGGAGCAAAGGCAGGTGGGCAAGAAACCCACAAGAAAAAGAGACAGAAAAAGAAAATGTAGAGAAAAAAAGAATCAAATAGCCTTCAGGGGTATAGCTTTTTCTAACCCAGAACCGTTTGCCCATGTCTGAAGAAAAGCATCCTTTCCCTCGAAGTTAGTTTGCATGCATCTTCAAATCTTTTGAGAAAAGAGCCAGCAACAGGGAATATGTATTGTGAAATGATTGTTTTAGGGGAGGTTTGTAGGAGTCACGGTATAAGTATCAAAAACTCTTTGAATGGGTACTTTAACAAAGGTTTACCAAATGACGGCACTTTAATAACTCACCTAACACTTTCACTTTTTAAAATCAGCCCGAGAACTTTGATATATAAAGTAAAACAATAATAAACTATTATATTATTTGTTAACAGGAATCAATGAAGATGATGGGACTGAATGGCTGGCTTCACTGGTTGGCATGTTTCGCAAAATACTTTATATTGCTCCTTATCACAATGGCGTTAGCTACAATGTTATTCACAGTAAAATACAATGAGAATGGTCGTATCTTGGAGAAAAGCTCACCATTTCTAATATTTGTTTTCTTAACACTTTATGCAATATCATCCATCATGTTCTGCTTCTGTGTCAGTGTGTTCTTCTCCAAGGCAAACATCGCCGCAGCTGCTGGGGGAATAATCTGGTTTGTTAGTTACATTCCATACTTCTTTGTCGCACCAAATTACGACACAATGAGCTTAGGAGCCAAGGCAACATCTTGCCTACTTTCTAATGTCGCAATGTCATTGGGCGCTCAGTTGATAGGGAAATTTGAAGGAGCTGGTACAGGAGTTCAGTGGTCAAATCTCAATCAAAGAATATCCGTTGACGATGATTTTACACTTGGTCTTGTCTTGGTGATGTTTGTGGTAGATTCATTCATTTATGGCTTGATTGCTTGGTATGTGGAAGCTGTCTCTCCTGGTGATTATGGAGTTCCGCAACCCTGGTATTTCCCTGTTTTATCCACCTACTGGTGCGGAAAGAGCAAAGAGGTTAGAATGCTAGAGACTGGAACTATTAAATATTAACTATTTGATTAGTGTTTTCGTAATTTACAAACTACTGTTTGGTTCCTGCTTTGAACTTGACTGCAGACATGAATTTTTTCAAGACCTGCTGTTGTCAGTTCTTTGTTATGGAATTTTATCCTGCCGGCAGTCTCTCTGCAAATCCAAGGAAATTAATTGAGTGGGTAAATTGTTGGAACGACCTGGTAGTGTACTTGCAGTGGCCTACCACAGTTCTAGAAGGAATAAGGAATTATTCTTATGGGTACACAGATATGAGCCTCACTAAGTCACCAGAAGTTTTCTTTCGGTTCCTTCGGTCTGGTAGCTGACCTCGGCGGACTATTGACCTGAGACCCTTCTCTTATCTGAGGCAGTGGACTAACATCCCAACCATGGGGTAGCTGAGTCTGCCTGGCATATATACTTCCCAGGATCCTGAAAGAATCCTATACCAGAGGTTACGATCCTGTAAGGGTCCTGTAAGGTCCCGTGTGTAATCCAGTGTGAGATTCTGTTGGATCTTGTAGGGTCCTAGAGAGTCCTTCTCAAGATCCTGTGCAATCCTATAGATTCCAAAAGGGTCTTGTGCAGGACCATCTAGGATTTCGTTACAGGACTTCACACAATCCTAACTACTATACCAATCCTAAGTTAAGGATCCTAAGAGATACTGTAGGATCCAATTGTGGTAAGATTGGCATATTAGCACAAGGTACAAATACCAAAATTTCTTAACGGGATCAAGGAGCCTCTTGGCTTCATCTCGCCTGATCGTTTGCTTATCGTTTTCCCTGTAGGAAGAGATAAGTGATTTTCATCATAGTTTAGCAACTGACATCGGATCTGGAATGTCGGTACCTCAGGAATTTTTAGAAAAAGAACCGGTGGGTTTGGAACCAGGGATTGAAATAAGAAACCTCAAGAAAGTGTTCAACGCTGAGAAAGGTTTGCAACTAAGTGTTTTGTGTAGCATATATATTTTGTGAAAGGTTATACTAGGCTTGCCTTGATGGTTTGTACAACCAAATCAAAAACTGTCACATCATGAGTCTGAATATAAAAGTGCCTTTTTTTTACTGTCCGAAATTTTTAATGTCCAAAGATGTTACAGGGCTCACTTTGATTCCCTAAAGTTATGATTTTGAAATTGTGGAGTTGGAAGTCTGCATTGTGCAATTGTGAAGCCCATTTGTAGAAAAGAATTGTGCAGTATTTTCTTAGCTGTACATAGTGTCCCTCACCTGGGGTCAAGCAGTCTACTTTATGCAGGTTATTTTTATAGAAAATACTGGAAAAAGAGTTTGAAACTTATTTAGGCTTGTTCGTTATAAACAAGCTATTTGCTTAGTAGAGGGTCCATGCATTACTAGCCTAGAACTCTTTCTCACAAATCCATTCTTGTTAGGAGAGAACGTAGCTGTTAATGAAGTTTCCATGAACATGTATGAAGGTCAGATTACTGCACTGCTGGGACACAATGGAGCTGGGAAAACAACATTGATGTCCATGCTAACAGGACTCTTTCCTGCTACATCTGGCTCAGCACTTGTCAATGGATGCTCTATAAGTGACGATATCACTGGAGTGCGCAGCAGTCTAGGCAGGATGATATATTATTATTTTATGCAATAATTAAAAATATTATTTTAGTTAAAATGATAAATTGTATTATGTTAATTCATTTTCTTATAATTAATTACAACTTTTATGTCCACATGATCAAATTTATTTGTTGTAATAGCTTTCCTCTTCGTGGGTAGAGGCCTTGGGTTGGTAATTTATTCCAAAATTGCTTGCATTGATCAATTTTTCATGATCTGATGATGTACATCTAACCAGAATATAGAAATCAATTGAAAATTCGAAGAAAATCTATCCCAAACGGGAAAAAAAAACCTCGTGTTTTTAAGTTTAGAAATCCTGCAATCCATTTACATCATTATCACCATTTATGATCAGTCATTTTTACTTAAATTGTGGGTTTAGGTTTTGATATTTCCTCCCCAGCATGTCAAGCATTGTTATGTGTCCTTTATGAGCTAGGTTTATTTTTGAGTCTCTTACAATCATGCACACAATCATTGCTGTGCATCTTAAGCATAACTTACTTCTCTTTCAGGTCTTTGCCCACAGCATGACGTGCTGTTTGACCGTCTTACTGTTGAGGAACATTTGTGGTTCTTTGCCAAGTTAAAGAACTGCCCATCTTGGCGGGTGAAAGATGAGATTGACAGAATGATCGAGTGTATTGGACTGACTGACAAGCGACACACGCAGGCCCGTGCACTGTCTGGTGGAATGAAAAGAAAGCTCTCTGTTGGAATAGCACTCATCGGTGACTCCAAGGTTTGAAGTCATCTTGTAGCTTCATGCCTTCCAGTACTGGCTTGCACTCCCCTAGAAATAAATGGAAATTGAAATTCTTTCATTTTGTTTTTAAGCAGCTATATCACAGATGGTGCTGTTTTCATTCATCATCATTTGTTTCCTGTCTGAATCCTTCCCAATGGGAACAATCCTTGTTCCACTTGGTTTCTTCTCTTCTGTTATGTAGTTTTCTACCTTCCCAAACTTTTGCAGTTAACCTTGCAGTTTTCGTTTGACTTAAAGGTAAACTCCATGTCTCAAAACGAGACTTAATATCTCATGACATCCCTTTTATAACCAATTCAAAGGGAATCGTTTAACAGTCAATACCAATACCGTTAATGGTGTTACACGCTTCCATGCAAACTTCCAAGCTGGCCATATTCAAAAGTTAGTCAGTGTAAAATGCAGGCTGCGGACTGCAGACCGGAGGTAAAACTGTCAGCAGACTAAAAGCTTGGACGTCATTCAGGTTAATCGGAGTTAACGTCCGCTCTTGGTTAGACTGAATAGCGTTTTGGATTTAATAACTTGAAAATCACTCAGGTTAGTCTGATTACGGTTAGCTCTTGATAATAGATATGGTAACACGAAAAAAAGTCTGGAGAATGCAGTGTGCATTTTGCCGTATTCCGCAGTCTTCGTTTTACACTGACCCATTCAAAACCTTAGGTTGTAATGCTGGATGAGCCAACATCTGGCATGGACCCGTCAGCTCGCAGGTTCACCTGGGATTTGTTGCAGCAGCAGAAGGAAGGAAGGACCATCTTGCTCACCACTCACTTCATGGACGAAGCAGACATTCTTGGTGACAGGATCGCCATCATGGCCGAGGGTAACATTAAATGCTGTGGTTCTCCCCTTTTCCTCAAAAACAAATATGGCGTGGGCTACCACATGGTCATCGTAAAGGAGCCTAATTGTGATGTTTCCAGGGTTACTGCTTTGGTCACTAGTCACGTACCTACAGCAAAAGTGGAGAGCAACATTGGTGAGTTAAAGGGTGCTAGACCGGTTTAATGAACTGCTTCTTACCCAGTAGTGTCCAAGTCCAAAAATTGAACACAAACAACACTTCGGCAAAGTATTGAAAGTCCAAGAAAGTGGCAAAGGAACTACTTCTTAATAACTTTCATTTGATTGGTGACACAACAGGGACTCGTTCACTTGATTTATAGTTAAAAGCACCTTGTATAGCATAACAAACGGTACCACATGAAAGTACAGCTCAATAGCTTTTATTTGAATGAGAGCACCCTTAGCTTTATCTAAACAGCAGCGGTCGTGGTACTACGTCGTTCTTTTAAAATGAGAAAAGGTCAGTTTCAACATTTTGTGTAATTCATTTGTTGACCAGGTGCTGAACTGTCATATATTTTGCCAAGTGAAGCAACCGGCAAGTTTGAGGAACTCTTTATCGAGTTGGAAACGCGCCGAAACGATCTTGGAATCGCCAGTTATGGCGTTTCAGTTACCACGATGGAAGAAGTATTCCTCAAGGTTGGGGAAGAAATGGACAGCACTCTCAGCGATAAACTTCAACGGAACGGTTAGTTAGAATCTTGCGATGATTTCATTTTACTCGTTAACTTGAATATCCTCACCAATCAAAGTTAAGTTCTAACACACGTGACGTTTCCTGCACGCGACAGCCTTTTCCCACTGAATTTCGTTACGATGTCTGACTGGTTTGCTGCGACTTGGCCTCTGATTGGTTGATTGTGCAAGTGTTTCTTATGGTTGGCTACTAGCACGACTAATATTTCTCAGTAATTTGGTGGGTGGCTTCATTGTTTATCACTCTTTTACGCCAGAAAGCTACAGTTCCCTCATGCATATAACTAGCTGCTATAAGTCGTATTTAGCTTGATACANTGGAATGAAAAGAAAGCTCTCTGTTGGAATAGCACTCATCGGTGACTCCAAGGTTTGAAGTCATCTTGTAGCTTCATGCCTTCCAGTACTGGCTTGCACTCCCCTAGAAATAAATGGAAATTGAAATTCTTTCATTTTGTTTTTAAGCAGCTATATCACAGATGGTGCTGTTTTCATTCATCATCATTTGTTTCCTGTCTGAATCCTTCCCAATGGGAACAATCCTTGTTCCACTTGGTTTCTTCTCTTCTGTTATGTAGTTTTCTACCTTCCCAAACTTTTGCAGTTAACCTTGCAGTTTTCGTTTGACTTAAAGGTAAACTCCATGTCTCAAAACGAGACTTAATATCTCATGACATCCCTTTTATAACCAATTCAAAGGGAATCGTTTAACAGTCAATACCAATACCGTTAATGGTGTTACACGCTTCCATGCAAACTTCCAAGCTGGCCATATTCAAAAGTTAGTCAGTGTAAAATGCAGGCTGCGGACTGCAGACCGGAGGTAAAACTGTCAGCAGACTAAAAGCTTGGACGTCATTCAGGTTAATCGGAGTTAACGTCCGCTCTTGGTTAGACTGAATAGCGTTTTGGATTTAATAACTTGAAAATCACTCAGGTTAGTCTGATTACGGTTAGCTCTTGATAATAGATATGGTAACACGAAAAAAAGTCTGGAGAATGCAGTGTGCATTTTGCCGTATTCCGCAGTCTTCGTTTTACACTGACCCATTCAAAACCTTAGGTTGTAATGCTGGATGAGCCAACATCTGGCATGGACCCGTCAGCTCGCAGGTTCACCTGGGATTTGTTGCAGCAGCAGAAGGAAGGAAGGACCATCTTGCTCACCACTCACTTCATGGACGAAGCAGACATTCTTGGTGACAGGATCGCCATCATGGCCGAGGGTAACATTAAATGCTGTGGTTCTCCCCTTTTCCTCAAAAACAAATATGGCGTGGGCTACCACATGGTCATCGTAAAGGAGCCTAATTGTGATGTTTCCAGGGTTACTGCTTTGGTCACTAGTCACGTACCTACAGCAAAAGTGGAGAGCAACATTGGTGAGTTAAAGGGTGCTAGACCGGTTTAATGAACTGCTTCTTACCCAGTAGTGTCCAAGTCCAAAAATTGAACACAAACAACACTTCGGCAAAGTATTGAAAGTCCAAGAAAGTGGCAAAGGAACTACTTCTTAATAACTTTCATTTGATTGGTGACACAACAGGGACTCGTTCACTTGATTTATAGTTAAAAGCACCTTGTATAGCATAACAAACGGTACCACATGAAAGTACAGCTCAATAGCTTTTATTTGAATGAGAGCACCCTTAGCTTTATCTAAACAGCAGCGGTCGTGGTACTACGTCGTTCTTTTAAAATGAGAAAAGGTCAGTTTCAACATTTTGTGTAATTCATTTGTTGACCAGGTGCTGAACTGTCATATATTTTGCCAAGTGAAGCAACCGGCAAGTTTGAGGAACTCTTTATCGAGTTGGAAACGCGCCGAAACGATCTTGGAATCGCCAGTTATGGCGTTTCAGTTACCACGATGGAAGAAGTATTCCTCAAGGTTGGGGAAGAAATGGACAGCACTCTCAGCGATAAACTTCAACGGAACGGTTAGTTAGAATCTTGCGATGATTTCATTTTACTCGTTAACTTGAATATCCTCACCAATCAAAGTTAAGTTCTAACACACGTGACGTTTCCTGCACGCGACAGCCTTTTCCCACTGAATTTCGTTACGATGTCTGACTGGTTTGCTGCGACTTGGCCTCTGATTGGTTGATTGTGCAAGTGTTTCTTATGGTTGGCTACTAGCACGACTAATATTTCTCAGTAATTTGGTGGGTGGCTTCATTGTTTATCACTCTTTTACGCCAGAAAGCTACAGTTCCCTCATGCATATAACTAGCTGCTATAAGTCGTATTTAGCTTGATACACCTTTTTTTTTTACTTTTCAGAATCTCCATCTGGTAACGGAATGCAAATGAATGGAGCTGTTCCAGTAGCAAGTGAAAGATCTTCAGTTCTAGCACGCATGAGTGCCTTCAGATCATCTAACGGTAGCTATGGCACGTTTGGTGACTACAACAGTTACGCGCACTCTTCGGGTTTCCGCCTGTTTCGTCAGCGGTGGTACGCGATGTTTGTAAAGCGACTGCTGCACACCAAGAGACACAAGCTGGCGATTGTATCTCAGCTTGTTCTTCCTCTAATATTCACGCTTCTTGCACTCGTTAATGCAATGAGCATCCGAAAGCCCAAGGACTCTCCACCGCTCACTCTGTCCACACACAACTTCATGGAGAACTATGTACCCTGGTCGGCAGACAGGTAATTGACACGGTTGTTGCTGCGCTGTAGTAGTGTTGATTTGGAAGTAGAAGAGAGTTAAAGGACTCGATGCCATTGACATTGTTGATATTACATGGTGAAGCGAAATCTTATTGTTTCACTGTAAATTGTGTTCCTGAGAGTATGTTCAATCATCTTTATTAGTTTCCAGGGACTATGGTGTGCGTATATAAATATATGATGTACCTTGTCTGTTTGTTTATGAATTATGTGTGTTTATAAAAAAATTGTATCTAACTCAGTTTAAGTCAATAAAAATTAATTTCACCGATTTTTGAAGGTTGTTACGCGTTTGGCTTTGCCGCCCGTTTCTCGGCTTTGTAATCGGCTAATGTACTTCAAGGAACGTATAGTAAGATTTGAAGCTCATGCAGTTTCTCCGTAAACGAAAGGTGGTCAGAGAGAGAATCAGTAATAAAATGACGTTTTCCAGGAATATATATTTTTCAGTTCTGACAGCGTGCATTTAGCTGATTGTTTAATACACGAGGGTCCCACCGTTAAATCTTTTCTTATTTGTCTTTATTCAACAGGTTCAGTGACGCACGTTACCTAGCAAATAATTACACAACTCAGTGGTCTGATGACAAGACACATCCTGAGCACGTGACTGGTGACATGGTCCATTACTTGATGAGTCGAGCTCTGGACATGGGACTCGGTGACTTCAACAGGAAAAATTTGATTGCTGCCACTTTTATGATGCAAAATGACAAAGGTAATCCTGCTGAATCAGGTTGTTTGTGTCTGTCTGTCTGTCTGTCTGTCTATCTGTCTGTCTATCTTTCTGTTTGTCTGTCTGTCTGTTTGTCTGTCTGCCTTTCTGTCTACCTCCCTGTCTGTCTGTCTGCCTCTCTGTCTGTCTGTCTGTCTGTGTCTATAATTCTATCTTCCCATCAGTCTTTGTGATGCAGGTCTACCTCGATAAGTTGAAATATTAAGAATTTAAGATAGCGTTTTAGAAAGTAGTGTTTAAAATCCAGCGAGTGCATGTGTCAAAGTGGTCAGCTATGAACTGCTGCTTTTAGCTTGTGCGTAGTCTTACAAAGCAATAAAGCAGGTCTAAATAGAACTTGTAATTAAGTGAAACCTTTTTGGTGCCTAAAAGCTCAGAACCTCGGTGATTAACTCTGGCTCCCTGTATCTGAGGTCATGTTGAGCAAACATTGTGACTATTTTTGAACCCTTGAACTACAGAAAGAGATCATGCATAGTGGCCGTGCTAAACCCAACCCCAATCTGCACTCTATTTGTACGTTTTTAATTCGGTTTACTCTCCAAAGAAGAAATAATTTCATGTGGTAATCTATTAGGATTGTTTCTGTAATTGTTCATTCGGTTTGTTTTTCTCTTCGCAGTTAATGCGACCGCGTGGTTCAATAACCAAGCCTACCATTCTATCGCTGTGTCTCTTGCGGCTGCAGATAACGCCATCTTGCGTTCTACTCTCGGAACCAACTTTTCATTAACGACCATTAACCACCCACTGCCCAGAACAGCACAAGAATCTATCAGTGATTTACAACGGTGAGTCAGTGAAAAAATGCTTAGTCCAGCGGTGTTACTCTTTTGCGAACATGAAGCGTATGGAAGAGCCTGGGTGCAAGCTCAAAGACGTCACGAATGACGGGATGAACTTGTAAATTTTCGTATTTATAGAGTGCGTTTTTTGTTTAAACGACTGCAAAACAGTCGCCAATTTTTCTCTCGTGATGTTTAAGGCAAGGCGGCAGGCAAAGCAAGAGACGGTTGACGAAAATTTGTCAGCGTTTCCCTCTAATCCTTGGGGAAGTCTCACGCTCGATCCAGGTCCCTTTTGGGAGCTCTACGCTTAAATACAGGCTGTTCTATACTCTGTTAATTAAAGATGAATCGCTTTAATATTTCTATCCAACCGTTTCTGTGTTTCACATGTAAGACTGAACACATTCGTGACACTTTGACACTCATGAGATTGATGTCAACATCTACTTTGCTTCTCAACTTTCGCGGTCATTTGAAGACATTGCCTTGCTGTAATGCAAAATTCTCACAACTGAAACCAAAAGAAACGTAAGGCAGTCACTAAGGAGAATTAGTCCCGAAATCTTGTGATTGAGAGGTTTTAATATTTTCTCATTGTTTCCCTTTAGCAATGGCCTCGGATTCAACATCGCGTTCAACGTGTTATTTGGCATGGCTTTCTTGGCTTCAAGCTTTGTTGTGTTTCTTGTCCAGGAACGAACGAACAAAGCCAAACACGTGCAGTTTGTCAGCGGTGTGGATCCAATAAGCTACTGGAATTCCGCCTACACGTGGGACTTGATCAACTTCCTTGTACCCACCCTCTCGATTTTAATCCTTGTGGCCGCTTTTGACGTCCCAGCTTACACAGGTCTGTAATCAAGTTGTTACTTCTACTTTTATCTTAGAGCAATGTTCTACTAAACCGAAACTAAGGTCATCACGTCTAACCAATCACAACAAACACAATAACGCGATGAACCAATCAGAGCTCGAAGAAAAATTGTGCCGCCGGTGTCAAGCGCGGGAAAATTGTAAACCTTCCCAAGCGCGGGAAAATTCGGGTAAGCCAAATGACCATTGGTTTTGGTTTTCTCCTGATTGGTTAATAAGACAGCAGTCTGTTCTGATTGGTTACAGTAAGAATTAAGCGAGTTTGAATGCAAAACGGAAACGAGCAGGCATAAATCAAATGGTAACATCCTGCTGCGAGCACACCTCGACGGATCGTGTTAAGTTAAAATGAAATATAATTTTCTTTTCTCTCTTCACAGGTCCTCGTCTAGGTTACTTGTTTCTCTTGTTGATGTTTTACGGCTGGGCCACTATTCCTCTCATGTATCTCTTCTCGTTCGTGTTTCGTACCGCTTCCACGGCCTTTGTAGTGCTATCTATTTTCAACATCATCACAGGGCTGGCTACACTTCTGACCGTCTTTATTCTAAGTATTCCAGGTAACTGCTGCGGCTTCAGCATGTGTTCTTTGCAGAATTGAAATTTTCTCACTTCCAAGTTCTTTTCCTCCTTCCCTTACAGGGATTTTTTTATGTCTGCTTTTCGATTAGTAACGACGTTTGTTTTATTTTGCGTTGTTGTATTTGGAGACTTAACAACATTTTTTGGTGATTTACATTTAGTTACTACAACAAGCAAAGATTTTTGGTTTGGTATTATTATCAAGATTACGACAACAATAATGCGAGTTGGCCCAGGACTTATTCTTTTATTTGGAAACAAGCGGGAGTGCGTCGACCTGTGGAATCAGTTTCCTTATAGGGCACAAAAATTTACTATCGTGCTTTCGAAAAGATTGGACACAAAACCCCTCAGATAATATGAGCTCCCAAATACAGCCGACCCTTGGGATGATATGAGGCCCCAAATACAACCAACTAGTGGGATAATATGAGCCCCCAAATACAAGCGACTTCTGGGAAAATATGAGCTACAGAATACAACCAACTCCTGGGATAATATGAGCCCCCAACCGAGAATAAATTGAAGTCCTGTAATATTGCTATAGCCAGTCAAGCACAAAGTAGTATATTCTGACGTATTTTGTTTAGCAGTTGTTTCTTTTCTTTTGTTAGATCTAGACCTCTTAGACGTTGCCGACGCTCTGAAGTGGGCCTTCCTTGTTCTACCCAACTACAACCTCGGCCAGGGTATGGGTGACATGTTCAACAACTACAATGCTATAGAACTTTTCAACTCTGCTGTTGATATGTGTGTTACGACGTACCACATCCCCAGAACAAACTGCGAAGAAGAAATTCGAAAAATAGGCGGCGACAGGCTACAGTTTCAGGATAATTACCTGGCCTGGGACAATCCCGGCATCGGACGTTACCTGATATTTTTGGCCTGGGAAGGAATCTTTTTCTTCGCGCTAGTGCTGTTGATCGAGTATCGCGTGTTTGACGCGTGCACGAGAGTTTTGGCGCGTTTGCGTTCATACTCTACCGGAGTGTTTACAATGGAGGGGTCAACCTTGACTGACGATGAGGATGTTTTAGCGGAGAAAGAAAGAATCTTGACGTCTGAAGACAACGATGATGTGCTTGTTATCAAGGAGCTGAGTAAAGTCTTTGCTGGAAATGGCCGTAAGTTGTAGTTTTAACTGACAATTTCTGAGGACTGGCACAGTACAAATCGTATCTCGCCATAGGTTTTATCTGAGTTTATCCATTTCTGCAACGTTTCGAGCGCCATTTTTACCGTCGTTGTTCAGTATGTGATGGTAGTAGAGACGTTCCTTAAACTTGGATATTTCAACCACCAACAAGATGACAAATGTAGTTATTTGGAAAATAGCCCAAAGAAAATACGCGCGCTAGCTGATTGGTTCAAAATCGTGTTTCTATAACTCGATAAAAATGCAGAACTAGCTACGTCGAAAAAGCTGTGGAAACACTCGCCTTTCGGGTCGTGTTCCCACAGCATTTTTCGTTCTCCCCAACTTCTACTTGTGTTTCTATAACTCAACAGAAACACGGTATATATTTTCGGTTTCTTAAATGTATATCGTGGCTGTGATTAGGGGGGTTCCTAAGGGGGTAAGGGGAATACTGTTGAGTGCTAGCTAAAAATAGTAGCTGTTGAGTGTTTGCTAGAAATAGTAGCTACCGAAATATCGAAATAATTGCTGGCAAGAAAACTCTGTGGCAGCAAGCTGAAATATTATGGAGAAACCTGTATCGTGTTTTTGACTCCCAGGTCGTGGGCCATTGGTTGCAGTGGATCGTTTGAGCCTGGGTATCCCCATGAGTGAGTGTTTTGGTCTTCTTGGGATTAACGGCGCCGGAAAGACTACCACGTTTAGAATGTTGACTGGGGACGAGACCATGTCAGGGGGGACAGCTTTGGTGGAAGGGTTTGACATCAGAACCAACACGAACAGGGTTAGTTGCATTGATTCGTTCTCAGGATCGTTCTTCTTCCCGCACCGTGGGACAAAAAGAGACCTGGAACGAGGTCGTTGAGTGTCGATGATTGGAAGACTAAGTACCATTTTCTGCTTCCTATTGTGGACTTAGCCAGGAGTCCATTACTTTAAACGGCTCATTTACACTACAAAAACATTTTTGGCGTAGTTCGGATAATAATATTATGTGTCACCCTTCCCCCCCCCCCC